AACCCTAAACCCTAAACCCTAGACCCTAGACCCTAGACCCTAGACCCTAAACCCTAATCTCACCTTGTGGCACCTTGGCTAGAGCTAATTCTAGGGATGTGCACGTGGTTGCCCAAATTAGCTACAAAATCATTGCCTCTGGTCGCGCGTCCATAGTCCCTTCCCTTACTAGTGCCCAATAGGAAATCAGGTGCCTTACATCCCCTACATACGAACCCTTTATGAGGGACTTCATGTCTAGAGAACCCTGAACCCTAAACCCTAAACCCTCACCCTAAACCCTAAACCCTGAAGCCCCTAAACATCCCTATATGCAACCCAAGTTTCCGAATCCCTTTGTGCTCAGGCCTGCGCCGCCGGACCCCCACGCGTCGCCAGCCCAGCTGCAAAGAGCTCGGGGATACTCCGGAAAAAAAACACGCAAATGGGGGCTGCAGAAACTCGAGTTGTGCCTTGTTTTGCCTTTTTTTTGGGGGGGGTGGGGGGGGGGGGGTTCTATAAGAATTTCGCAATCTTGGGGTATGTTAGGGGTACCCCATATTTCCACCTAAAGGGCGGGTTCTCTTGACGTTCGGGCTCGCCTTTCTTGGGTGTGATGTTTAATTAATCGTGGGCCTAAAAGTACATAGGGAGCGGCCCTGTGTTCCCAAGCGCAGCCTGCCAACCGCATCCGGTCAAGACCTGTGGAAACCAAGAAGCCCTAGTCCAACTGTAACTTGGAATCGTTGTGACTGCTTGAAGATTAAAGCTGCGTCTTGGTGTGAGCTTCTTCATTACAGTTTTGCTTTGTGTTGAGGCAGAAACATGCCAAACTTGTGGATGAGCAGGCTGGGGGCTGTGATCAACAGTGTATGACATATGATGGCTGCAGAGCTTGCGTGGTCAGAGCAGGCACGCAGATGCATGCAGATGCTTCTGTTTCGAACCCCCCCGAGAAGATCAAACAGACAGCATAAGAAGAGAAAACAACACTGGAGCTTTTTGAGCCATCGTTCTGTGGTGACCATTCTCTAACCTTGACAAGCTTTGAACCGGCGATCGTTGTCATGATTATCATTATTCTCCCTGTGCCATGATTACGACCATGATTCTCATTGGTTAACATTATCACCACTATTATCATGGCGATCATGATTCTGACCGATGTTCTGCCGATCTTCCCCAGGGGATCAAGGACAGCGGCGCTCTGAGGCCTTCTGCCACGTTGTAGGCAGAATTCCTGTTACGTGCTGAGACTCTTTCCGACACCAATGCTTGCCTTTAAACGCCCGCAGAGCTGCCACAGCATGTTCTTGGATGTTTATCTGAGTTGTTGGCTGTTTTTGGGGGGAGTCCTGGACAGGAACTCACTTCCACTGCAATCGGAGGCGCAACCCGAGGCCCACGTATTTGTCCCAAGCTTTTGCGGGGCTGCAAGGGGTCTCATTGTGTTTGGCGTTTCGGGTCAGTATATATTTATATATACACATACATATGCACACATATATGAGCAGCCGACCTTATTTGTTCTTTGCATCTCCTGAATACCATTTGAGAAGCAGACATGGCTTTTGTCTTTGCGCCGTTCATTGGAGAACGAGATAGGGGCCTCCGAGAGCATGGGATGCATGATCGCATGATGAATTTACACCAGCCGGCGTTCGGCTCCCTTCCGTGCAATCTTTTCAAGGCCTGAAAGAATCGTTTGATCGGCGACCCGGTGACAGGAGCTCCTCACGCCATGTTAATTGCCCAAGGGGGGGCAAAGTTTGAACAGGTTTCGGGGCTTCCAAGGCCCATGAGAGGCCCACGCGGTCTCTAAGGACAGTCCTACCCGACGCTCTTGTGGGGAAAAAAAGAATCGTTTTGCCCCTTCCACCGGCAAGAACATCTTGCACAGTTCCAAATGCTGCCATTTTCGACTTGGGAGCAATCGATCCTTCTGAGCCCCCATCCGGGAAGAACATCTTGCACAGCACCATATATTGCCAAGATCAAGTTACTTTGGCCGGCTCCAGCTCAGCTCGGCAGGCTCTTGTAAGGCCATGAGGCAGAACAAAAGGGCCAAAACACTGAAATGTTGTTCTCAGGACCTGTAGAAACCATTTTGGCAGCCAGGTTTCTTTGGGAGCCGCCAGGAAGAGCTCGCACAGGTCCGAAAGTCAAAATTATTTATTCATGCTCGGGAAATCTTTCTCGCGCAGCCCAGCAGGTTGATGTGGTGAGCCTCCCGAATGGCTCCGGAGCCTTCTAGAGGTCCGGAGCCTTCTAGAGGAAACCGGCAGGCAATTTGCAAGATGATTTTGTAAGGCTTGAAAGGAGCAAAAACAAACTTTCAGAGGAAGCTGGCTGGGTTTTTGGCCACAATGATGATTTTCGGTCTGTTTAGAGACGAGATAGAGGACGAGACGGGAACGAGATCCGTGTTTTTGTGGACGAAAATCTGGACCCCGGAATTCAGGGTCCCAAACCTTGTCTGTTCTTCCGCCTCCCGAATGGTGCCGCGGAGCCTCCCAGACAATTGCAGTCTGTTTGTTCTTCGTACTCTTCGTAATTTCTCTATACTATAATTAGATATAAATATGTAAATATAGATAGTAAAATAAGTATATATATATATATACAAGTAAGGCCATATGAGCCCTCGTTTTTTGACGCGTTTCTCCGGTGGGCTTAGCAGGCCCAGCCTTCTGTGACTTGAGACGTTGTCGGAGACGTTTTTTTTTTTTTTTTTATCTTTTTGTAGGGAGGCATCCATGATGTTAATGCTCAGAAATTGACTGTTGTTCTCTGATTCTGATCACTTTGATTCTTATGAGCATCGCTAGGGTTTAGTTTAGGATTTAGGGTTTAGGGTTCTGGTAGCTCTGATTCTTACAAGTATCGTCCCTAAACCAACCCTCAACCTTAAAGTATAGTCTGGGTGATCCACGATGCCTTTGCCAACCGGCAAAGCGAGGCAGATGCGGAGGCGCCGGAGCAAGGCGGGGTCTGCAAAAGTGTAATTGAAGGAAACCCCTAAACCCTAAGCCCTCAGCCCTAAGCCCTAAGCCCTAAGCCCTAAGCCCTAAGCCCTAAACCCTAAACCCTAAACTCTAAACCCTACTCTTCTTGGGATGTTCCTCCTTATACTAACAGTCCTTAATTGGTCCTAATGGGGGTACTATAATCCCTATTAAGGACTGTTAGTATAACATCCCAAGAAACTTGCGAAAACAAGCAACAACAAAGGGGTTTGTGGGATGTGTTACGGGTATTTTGAGGGTTCATAGGTTTGTTTATCGGGCGTTGTTAAGGGTTTATGGAGTTTATAGGGCCTTTTTAGGTTTCGAGGGCTTATAGGGTTTAGTTGGTTTGTAGGGTTTGTAGGCTTTAGGGCTTAACTGAGGCCAAAAACGGGGGGCGGGGGGGGGAGGAGCTTTCACAAAGCTGAGGCGCCTTCTTGGACCAGACGCTGTCGCAGCTGCCGCAGGATTCGGGAATGCAGAACCCTCAAGACTTAAAAGAGCAGGGTGTTGTGTGTGTGTGTGTGTGCGCGCGGGTGTGTGTGTGTGTGTGTGTGTGTTTAGGGTTTTAGGCTCCAACAAACCCTCATAAAGGCCCCGCTATATATGTGCATATATATATATGCACATACATCTGTGTATTTGCACCCCTAAGCCCCAACGCCCGACGTCGTATATGTGCAGGACCTGTCGGTCGATGCCCATCATGAGGAGGCCACCAAGGCTGCGGAGGCCGGCAGACCCCCACTTTCCCTTTTTGTAGGGGAAGTTTGCCATTTAGGGTTTAGGGTTTAGGGTTTAGGGTTCAGGGTTCAGGGTTCAGGGTTCAGGGTTCAGAGTACCTCTTATCATGAGGGGGCCTTGTATTGTATGGAGTTGGCACATCTTTTGGTTATTTCCTGTGTCAGCCCCGATCCAGTACCCACCAACCATGCGTGTTGCGAGCATGTTTTCATCTGGGCAGGCAACAGCGGACACTTTCATCAAGCGTCATGACGAGGCGCGTAGGACGCTTGGGAAACACCGTGGCAGGCTGAGAAACCCTGCGCATCCGGAGTGAGTACCCTAGAGAGCAGTCTCGACGACCCAGCCCGAACTGCGCAGACATGTAAACTGCGAGAGCGCAGCGCAAAATCGAACCGCAGTGTTCCGGAACACCCCAACTTAATCCACGCTTCGAAGATTCGAAGTCGCCGGAAAACCGTCCCAAGCAGAGATGCCAACCACCCCAAGTTTTGTTTCCATCCCTTCCGGTTTCCATACTTCAAGAAGCAGGCTCCTTAGCAGCCAATGGCTCGATGCCAACATGAAGGATGCCAATCTGTATTCGCTGGGAGGTGCTGAGCCCGAAGTGAGTGCCGCGCGACATCCTAAACCCTAAACCCTAAACCCTAAACCCTAAACCCTAAACCCTAAACCCTAAACCCTAAACCCTAAACCCTAAACCCTAAACCCTACACCCTACATGCGAGTCTCGCTCTGTCTCTCGTTGCCCGTGTCACATGTCTCTCTCGACAGCTGAAACAGGGCTGTTGGAAGCATCCGCAGCATCCGCAGCGTCCGTCTGCAGTAGTTGTGTCACCCTTGCCACCTACACATTGCATGCCTTGTGGTGGGAAAATGATGGCTGTGTGCTCAGGGCAAATGTATGGTAGAATGCCACCCTTTAGTGCCCAGCATTGGAGGGTTAGCCCACGTAGTCCGTCGAGTCTCTCGAATTTAAACACAGATCGCACATGACATTGCTAGGGTAGACATTCAGGGGCAGGTTCCCTCTACGCTTTGGAGGGTTGATTCCAGGTTTCCTCTGCATGAACTCTGTTCCATGTGCCTGCCATAAGCCCAAAGCCATGTCATTAAAGCCACAGAGCCACCCGTACACGTCGAGAGACAGACGTCCTACACCTGATTCCGAGTCTTCCCGAGTCCCGACCTTCGTGCAGACACTTGAAACGCACTAGTGAAGCCGAATAATCCGAGAGGATGTAGGTGTCCGTGCTCCATGCGCCGGGAGTGATGTCACGGGCTTTTGGCACAGCTTTGTGCTTGCGCGCGCTCCCAAGATGTCCTATAGCCTGAAGTGACTGAAGTCTAGCGCTTGAAGCTTCAAGGCACAGTGGGTCTGGAACTTTTGGATGGTAGTGAAGTCCGGTTCCAGAACCTCTCTCACCTCTATCACCAAGGGCACGGTTGCCGTCGATCCATCCTGCTGCCTCAGAGCCAGTGCAGGATTCAGTGGGGGGGCCCAGATTGTGGGGCAAAGGGACGATCGTAGAATGCGGCTGCTGCTGTGTCTCCCCGCGATCTCCTCAAGGCTCGCTAGGCGGCACCTCGCGGACGTGGCGCTCACGTCCGAGGATGATGAGACGCCGCCGGGCAGCAGCAGAGGTTCTTGCTTTTGCATGAGTTTGTCGGCCAACGCCCAAGAACACAAAAACCTGCCTGGCGGGGGTTTGCGACCCGGGCGCAAGCTGAACGGAGCGCGGCAGCAGTTTCGCCCGAGTCCCATAAGTGTCGACTGGGCACCGTACGATCTACGGGCGCGGCCGGCCCAACGTGGAAGAGACCAATCGGGAACAAGAAACGGAAAGGACCAGGAAGAGTGACGTGAGGAAGCGAACAAGGTGATCAGGGTGTACAACGACCAACTCACAGTCGATGTACAGAATGTCGGTAGAAGCCGAAAGGGCTGACGTGATGCTGTTTCAGATTTAGGGCAAAAACAGCAAGGCCCATTGGACTTTCTGCGTATTTCAGGAAGGGGGTTGGGCGTTTCTTCCTGGAATGCAGAAATATGGCAAATGACTGACCTCAAGCCTGTGGCAGAGGGGATTGACTCGCGAATGAACTACAGTGATTGAACCCGACGCTACGTTGGCTGCTCACGTTGCTGAAGATGCGCAAGAACTACTAGGCCACGTCGCAAGGACGAAGTATGGTGCGCACCAGAACTCGATTGGTGCGGTGCCGCCAAGAAAGGTAGAGATTCTGCATGAAAACGGCGTGAGATCTTAATGTCGGCATGTCGGCCTAACAGCGTGGGCTTTGGAGCAAGGCTCAGCTGACAGTCCCCTGATGCCGCCAGGAGACCCCAGCGTGCCCGAAACAAGGGCATTAGCCACTGGACTGATTTCATGCGCCATTGCGAGGGCTCGTGACTTCGATTCAATCTTGGGAGGTGGCCTCATGTCGTGATGGTTGCCAAGTCCTAGACTCTGAAAAGGTTCTAAGGTCGCACTGGGGACCTGAGCTGGTTTGCTGTAGAGCCGGGGAGCATCTGAGAACGCAGCCATCGCCCCATGAGTCCCATTGAACAGCGAGAGAGCTTTTCCTTCTGGAGGCCTTAGCCGAATCTGAGGCTCCGCCGACCCCTTGCCCGGGCAGGTGGTGGAGGTTCTCGGAACAGAGGCGGGTTTGTAGCAGAATTCGGGGACTGGCCACCAGTAGTGAAAGCACCTCGCCGCTTGAATGGGTGGTAAACGGGAAGAATTCGTTCGGATCGGGGATTGGGTGGGAATGAGGAAGAATGCAGAGGGCTGCAGAGGGCAAGAGAAACTAGCTATCAGTCGGCTTACAGTCATCTTGAATCTCGTCATGTTGAATCTCGCTGCCTCGAGGATGTGGAGTCGTTCCCGCGGCTTCAGAGGCCCTTCGTGGATAGGACCGAGCCGCGGAAGGGGTGCCAAGAGCATGGCCAGCACCCCGCCCCAAAATAATAATAATAATAATAATACTAATAATAATACTAATAATACTAATAAGAATAATAATAGTAGTAATAAACATATTCACAATAATAGTAAAGTGATGGCTCAGGACCCTGACTTCCCCCCCCCCCCCCCCCCCGAAAATCCAGGATCTGGCTTTCGGCGAAGGCTGGCAACGGCGGAAGCCCAGCACCGAATGCGTCCTGGCTGAAAATTTAACGACCCCTAGAGATTGGACAGAAATGCTCTCCCCTACATCTCAGTGGCCAAGTTGTGAGCTCACAGCGATTATGGAACGCAGAGTGGGAAGGACTCCAAACAGATCCAAATAGTGGTGGGTTGGTGGCACCTTCGCTAGAGAGAGAGAGGTAGCAGAAGAGAAAAGAAAGAGAGAGGGAGAGAGTGGCCAAGTGTAGCGTGTCGCCAGGCAAATCGAAAGCCGCACATCCCCAGCGGACCTGGTTACGGAGGTCATGGAGGGGACGTGATTCTGAAGGCCGGCGGGGAAGGCGAACGACATGCTTAAGGGGTCCCTACACCTACACGTCGGGGTAGGGATATTTTGGAACAACCCCCCCCCCCCCTGAACCCCCCATGAAATGCTTTGCTCGTGTCCCTCCCTGTGCTTCAGATGTTGTGTTTCCGGGCCATTTTGTGAGATCTCTCAGTGTCCTTCTGTCTGCTGGACACCAGGAACGCAAGGCGTCTTAAGCGAACTTGCCGTGCAGGTTCCATCCCGGTCCCTCACCTTAAACCCTAAACCGCAAACCCTAAACCCTAAACCTTAAACCCGCAACCCAAAACCCTAAACCCAAAGCCCTAAATCGTTCTGTGACAGGCAACGACCCAGATTGAAAGCTTTCTGGAGGCTCAGCTGCAGCTCAGCATGTGGCCGCAGCTCATCGGCAGGGTCTTCGCATGTGGGGGTTCTGTCAAGCTCAGTTAACCCAGAAGTATCCAGCTCTTCTACCCACATGTATTCCAAGACAAAAACAACCCATGACCCAGCAAAACCTGCCTTCATGGAAGTGCCCTGTAATATACTTGTGCAATCCCCCCTTTTCGACCACGACAGGCACCCGAACCCTGGGAAGCCTGCTGAGGATGTGCCGGAAGAGGTCAAGGCAGAAGCTGGCGGAGATGGCTGCATGGTAGCATTGGAGCTTCTTCCCCCCCCCTCCCCCCGGTGCCCGTGTGTTGTGCAGAACTGTCGCTGCTGGTTCTTTGTTGTGGAGATGGGCGCTGCTCACTGGGTCGCTGACCCCCAAAAAAACCCCAATGCCCAAACCATCGCCAGCACAGGACACGACACGTCCCGCGGGTTGCAGGGCAAAGACTACGTGCTCCAGGCCGGGGTTTGAGTTCACCCTCCCTTTAGGGCATACTATCGGGGACCCTGAAGGCCCGGAACCGCCCGCTGTTGAAGCCCAGGTGCCGCTCGGCACCATCGTTCGTGAGTCCTGGCTGCGCATAGGATGCTCTTCTGCTTGTAGCATCGAAGAAGAGTCCATGGCAGTCCATAATATGCATAATATGGAGCTTGTCGCACCCTTATCATGAACCCAGGAGCGTGTCTTCACTGGCGAGCGCACGCCAGAAGGCCCCTGGGTTCGAAGGTTCATTCGGAGCTTCGGAATCGGATCTGCTCGACAGGCCGCCGGATTTTCCTTCCGCAGTTCAGATACCAGCACCTTGACAGCATATGAACAGGAAGCCCACGCTGCGCCTTGAAGCCAGCCCCGTGGGTGTTCCTTACGGGGTTTTCTGGTTGCATTGCTGGCCTTGCTAGAAAGAGTTGCAAGATGCCGTTGAGGGTCTCCCTGGCGTTCGCTGGGGAGTTTTGGCAAGAGATAGATGCTGCTGCGCGCTATACCGGCCGAAGCGTACGTCCCCAAAAGCGCCAATCACAAACGCGTGATACCGCCTCAAACACGACCCCCAAACGCGCCCCGCATTACAAGCCCTGCGTCCCAGGTTCCTGCGCCACGAAGATACATACGTTGTGGCCAAAGGAGGTATAGGCGGCGTTCGCGGCTTTTATGTGTGTGTGTGTGTGGCCTTGCCTTTCAGGCATCTGCACTACGAGCTAGTGAGAAGCCTGTAGCCAGGTGGCGTTGGGCCCAAGTCGTTCAAGAAGGGCGACAGCCGACGCCCGACCCACGGCCAAAGGCCGGTATGATAGCACTGCCGATTTTCTTCGGCGACCCGGAATGCTATTTGTACTAGGGTGCTCTTGGCCCACTCTCCTTGTGGCTTCCTACATGTTGTCATATATTGTCATATCTGGGGACAGCCTTCTGGCAACCACTCTTTGCAGCCCTCAAAACTCTGGAGACCAGGGCCCGTCTCGAGCTCGAGCTGCGCCTCATGAACGATGCAACCTTGGCAAAGGGCTCAAGGGGACAGTGCCATTTTTTTTGGTTTTTTGGCGAACAAGATCGTGGTTTCTTTTGTTTATCAATGTGTGTTCTCTTCAAGCTCCTCTTCACTGCGCAGGGTCCCTTGGCCGTTGTGGGCTTGAAAGACTTGGGGCGCGGGCAGTTCGGGCAGGCCCCCTCAGTTCAAGCTTCCTCTTTTTCAAGTGTTTTTCAGTAACTGTTTTTGACAGGCTCAGCTCACGCGTTCGTGCCGTCCTAGGTTGATTGCTCGAAGAGGAATAGAACTGCGGGAAGTCTTGAGGCTTGTAGAAACTTAAGTTCGCCTTGCTTCAGTGCCTTGTCTTTCACGAACAGAGCAAACAACACGGAACAGCCCATGCCGGTCAGAAGTCCTGACGGGGTCGTGAGATGCGGGTTGCTGCTGGTCCCGCATTGCTTTCTGGCTGGTGGCGCAGTTCAACCGCGCCTCATGGCGCTAACCCCGGGAGATGGTCAGCACCACGGAACCTATCGCCGCAGCAGCTTTGCCTCGGTCTGGTTCACTGTCACCAGTTGGCTAAGGGAAGGTGGGCTGCCGGTAAGAGGTCCCGGAAGTCTTGCAGAGGCTTCTCTCAGATATCCTGCCAAAGCAAGGCGAGGCACGTAGAGCTTTTGGTCGACGGGGATTCCCACAGCACCGCGGAGGTGTCACATGCCATCCGGAGCCTACAAAAGCAAGGCCTGAGCGTGCGGACCAGGATCTACGCTGAGCCCAGAAGAGAGGAGAACTCGAAGTGGAGGCGGCTTTTCCAAGAGCCATCCATCTCATTCTGTCCCATCCCACGGAACACCCGGGAAGCCAATGACGAACAGATCATGGCAGACCTGAGGCATCTAGCCGCTTGTGCTGCCAATGCTGCGTTGCTCACGTCCGACAGGGACTTTGTGGAGGTTGTTGAGGAGATCAAAGGGCGCGTTGAGACCTATGTTCTGATCCCACACAGGCATGTGAATGCCATTGAAACCTACAAAAAGCTTGGGGTCCAGGTGTTGCCGTTGTCGCCACAGCGAGAGGCCTGCTGCCCGAAGGTCCGCGCTATTCTGCATGAGGATGGAAGCGGAAGCGTGACGATAGGAAGCCCGTGCACATTCCGGGACTACGAAGAAGAGGCAGAGGCCATCAAGCCCTTTCTGCAAGATTTGGGGTACTGCCAGCAGGACAGAGGTGACCTGGCACGACCATTCCTTGGCCACGCTGCAGCCAAGTTTTGGTATAGCCACAGACTGGGGCCGATCGAGGTCTTCCCAGCACCCTGTGCCATCAAGACGTTGCATGAGCTGATCCATGAGAGCAAGGTGAGGCCGACGTGGCAGCAGTGTCGCGAGAAGTTGGCGTACGTCCTCCCCTGTGCTTCGAGAAAAGGGCGATCGAAAGCCACTGCAATTCGTGTGTACGGCAGCTTGAGAGACCGACAAATCTACCAAGGCGGGGGACCGTTTCTCTTACACGATTCAGACGATTTGGTTGCGAGGGTCTTGCGGAGGCTTGGGTACTTAGATGACGGGTTGAATGGAAGCCTTTCAGAGGCCATGTTGGTTTTTGTGAACACGAACCACAACAAGGGGACCTTAAGGAAGCTGGGCCTTCTTCCTGAAGCATCGGATTCTGTAGCTCGCGTTGCAAGAAAGCTGCAGAAGGCCTTTACGTCCACGATGTCCCCTGGGATATGGCAAGTCTTGCCCAGCGATAGATTCCTCCGACAGCTGCTCTGCAAGTATGGGTTTCTGGAGAACAGGGAGGCAGAGCCGGATGAAGTATTCCAGGCTATGCAGAGGTATTCTGAGACTATTCAGCTGCACATGGAGTCTTACAATGGCTATGCCTTCTGGATCATGCAGAGCTTACGTGAGGTGAACTCAGATCCCTCCCGGACAGGCGCAGTTGTGTTTGATCAGGTGGAGAAAGGCTGAAAAGGGGGATAGTCTGTTTGATCCAGTCCCACTCTACTCCCTCACGCCCTAGAGAAGATCTTCAATTCTGTGTTGTATCGGCTCATGAAAGCTGTTTTCCCAGCTGCCTCATGGACATGCCTCCCACCAAAACTCAAGCTCAAGCTTAAGTGTTTCATTCCGGTACTCAGGTCGGCGTGCCTAATGCAGGAAAGACCTCGCTTCTTGCTACTTGACTTGATTGGGGAGCAGGGGAGCTCTATCACTCTGTGGATCAAGTTTGGCTCAATCTTTCGCATTTCGATGCCGGGTCGAGACATGCGGCTCTGCAACACAGTCCTTGCAGTGTCCCTGCGCGGAACTCAATGGCAACGCCGAACGGGCGGCCCACCATAGAGCCATCTAGGCATCTATGAGTCCTCTGGAAACCCTGCGCTGAAGGCAGCCCTCAGCCGGGCGCACACGCGAATTGGGCCCGAGGAGTTCAGCACCACCAGGCACAACTGGAGTGGGAGGGGTCGGATCTTGCAAGACTGTACGGCACGCATGCCACAAATGCTCAGTGAACCAGAGACGTTTTTGCCCTAATGTCATTGAGCCCCAAGTGCCCTCAAAACCCTGAATGAACATGAATAAACCTTGTAAATCCTAATTCCTAGTAGATGTGTCCACCAGCCCATGCCGCGACTCCAGGCCTCACGTGGGGGTGATCCAGTTCCGGGACCGCGTGGAGATCCGCCTTTGCGATCTGCCAGGCGGCATTCTTGGGCTTTTAAGGGGGGGGGGAAAGGGGGGGCTGTTAGGCAGTAAGCGAGGGCTTTTGGGATTCTAGGGCGTTTTGGGACATTAGGGTTGAGAGTCTATCGGGCTGAGCCCATCTGCTTACCATGCCACAGGTCTTTCATGCGCGAAGGAGCTTGTAGAGTCTGTACAAACATGTAGTTCTGATAGTTGCATCGTTGTATTGTTATATTGCTCTGCTTCCCAGACCCCTGGGAGGATCCAAAAAATAGATCCTCTTCAGGGTTCCTAAGAATGACCCAATAGTAATAGAGGGTACTATTTCGGGGCCCTAACTTTTTTGGATCCTCCCAGGGGTCTGGGTTGATACAAAACATGATCGAGCAAAGAAATCCCACCAATGGCACACTTTCGTGGGATTGCTCGGGCAGGCCTCTCGGAAGGAGCACACGAGGACAAAGAGAGTGAGAGCTGGGCTTTCAAAAGCTGAAGTGCCTTGGTAGATGAGACAACCTTGTTTGTGTGCGCAGTGCCCCTTCTCGGTGATCTGGTCCGATTCATAGTAGGCCCACGTCCTCAGCACATCCCACAACATTGCAAGTCACATGAAACGCCCGCAACTCGGCTTTAAGATTTTGTAGAGTCACGAAACGACGAAACCCGAAAACGTTCATCATCATTAGCAAGTGGGGTCAGCTGTACCGGTACACCCATGCACCAGTTTACCACGGGTACCAATCAGCCTGCCATCATACCAGCGACCTGACCCGCACAGCTGTCGAGCTCGCACATACGCACATACGTGCTGCTGTCACAAAGCCATTGTTGATCCTCAAGTTGTTGCGCCTGCCAAACCAATATGTTTATAGTTTATTGGTCACATCAATTCGAAATCGGAACGGCGGGGCAAGCATGTCCTGCTGCGCCAACTCTACCAACAGGTTCATGCAGACTTACTGCAACTCCATCTTCCATTGTCTACCTCATGGTCCCCTAACTTTCTTCGATGACTGTGGCATCCCATCAGCCCCGGGAGGACAAGCTGATGGGTCGGCGTATTCTCAGGCATTCGGGTGAACTGATGGGCCTCCAGGGCGAGAGTGGTTCTGAAATTCATTCCCACATGTCAGCTCGTAACGGGGGGAGGAAGGACCTTCCGAGTTCAATGTGAAGAGATCCATGGCTGTTTCAGCGTGCACTTTGTGTGGAGCGTCGCTTCTCGAGTCAACTGTCCGTTGAGAGAGGTTCAGCTTCAGCCACATACTGGTTGTCATGGGCAGAGCATATGCTTTTGGGGAGTGTATCGACAGGTTCAGGTTCAGGTGCAATTTCTTTTGAGCGCCTGCCCGAGTCTAGAATTACCCCCTGTTGTTGACGAGGGCTCTTGATGTCAAGGAACCTGCACGGCGCAACCTTTCTGAGCTGAGTTGCAATTGGTTGGTGAAAAAGGCGCGAAAAAGGAAGGGTCCAGCAATGAGAGCCATCGCCAGCCGGCAGGCACACCTACCGCTCAAGGGCCTTGGCATTCGTGGTTAACGTTGCTCGAGGACGATCTTGTCCTCTGCAGCAAAACCTGCTTGGTGATTCAGCAGCCGTGCTTCTGACATGTCGTTTGGAGTGTAGCAGCATGGGTGACCACCACATCAGCTCTAAGTATATGCCCTCCGCACTCTGCAATTTGGATCCAGATCACGCAGAACCTGATGCCGTGGCTAGGAGAGTCCTCAGAGCACGACGTCCTTGCCGAGGTGGAGATGCTTCGCGAGGCGCGACCGCAGAGTAGCCGAGCCTAGCTTTGGAAATCGTACCCGTCGATATCCTTCGCTATGCCTCTCAGGAGGCCATCCGCTTTGACCCCTTGAACAAGGAGAAGCCCTGGATGGTCATCGGGACGTGGCTCGGCGAAAGGAAAGAGAGCAGACGAATTGTGGGACCGTGAGCCGCAGGCGTGTTGGTGGAAAAGTCGCTCCCAACCTTGGCTAATACTCTGCCTTGGCACGCCTCGACGTTCCCCGTCTCAAAGGAAGTGCGACCTGCTGCACCGTGATCCCCTGCGTCGAACTCAGCGAAAAGGGAGTTTAAGCCATGAGAGTAGCTGGATTAAAGTCGAGTCTGAGCTCCGTAGGGTATCGTCTCGGCCAACGCAGTTCTTCGGGGGCTTGAGACCTCGAGCGCGGATTCAGGTTTCACCTCGACAGTCTCTTTTACAGACTGCGGGCACGGTACGGAGAGGAGGCGCCCCATGTGCACGTTCTTTGAAGGTTTGCACCAGAAGGCTTGAGTGAGCCTTGTAAGGGGCTACGTGGTATGATTTTGCACTTGCACTGACAGATATTCAAGAAAATTCAAATGGTATCTGGAATGATATCAACAGGTGCCGGTGGTGGGAACGTCCTCGCGCTTCGGACTGGGGCTGACTCGCACAGTGAGGCGCGGTCGCAAGCGCCGCCTCTTTGCAAGCGAAGCCTTGTTGTTTTTGGATGCAACCTCTCTTCCCCCAAATATGATCCGGCTTCACGAGCTTTGCTTGCATCACTTGGTTACTCTCTGCTTGTCTATGCACTTTGCGAGCCTGTGTTGCTGGCCTGAGAGCTGATAGGGGTGCGCCTCCAAACCTGACGTCTTTGTGCTCTCTGCTCTTGGACGGAAAAGCCGCGGATGGCGCTTAGCCCAAAAGGGGAGAGGGGCTGACCGTCTTAAACTCTGGGGGAGTGGGGAAGGACTTGATGACTTGGTGTATGGTGTTTGTTGTATAGCTGGGCTCGCAGTGCCAGATCTTCTCACCCTTCCCTACCTTCTCTATGACTCCTCAGTCGGAGTCCTTGTAGCAGTCCTGCTGCAGAATTCTCGAAGGACACTCCGGCAGCTAATCTATCCCGACATGTTGGAGGCGCGGAGGTTTTGTGTTCTGCGATCCAGGGTCCAGATTCCAGATCTGCCCCAAGAATCCTTAAACTCCGTAAGCCCGAAGAAGCGCCCTGTGAGCCCCAAATTCCTCCCTTAAAGGGATCTCCCCTGCAAAAGGGGGCCTTGGTCCTCCTCAAGTGCTCCTTTCCTCTCCCGAACCCTAAACCCTAAACCCTAAACCCTAAACCCTAAACCCTAAACCCTAAACCCTAAACCCTAAACGTTAAACCCTTACTTAAGGGCCCCTCCCCTCCCCCGTCCCTCCAAAGCCCCCCCATTGCAAAGGCGCGGCCGCGACTTGGGGCCGATCCAGAGCTGCAGCGGCAGCCGAAGGCCTTCCCCCCTTTTACATGTAATTTTGCCGGAGCAAAAAGGCTGGAAGTTCTGTCCATTTTCTGTTTCTTTCTTTGTTGGTGTTTTCCTGTTGGCCTCTGGTTGTTCTATCAGAGCAAGAAGCAAGCCTGAGATTCGGGGAAGGGGAGCTCTGCCATTTGTTTTTGTTCCTTGCTCGTTTTGTTGTTTGTGTTTTCGGTGTGTTATTGTTCTTGTTCTTTCTTTTGCGCTTGTTCGTATGTTTAGGTTTCTGTTGCAAGAAAGCGGTTTTAGCCAGGTTCTCCATGGCCCCTACATTGGACCCTTGCCCTCGCTGGGCGAATACGCGGACCCGAGGACGCCGCTGTCTCTCGGCCTTGTTTTAGGGCGACGCTCAGACCGTGGAATTCTTTCCTTGTCTTCGGCTTCGGCCAATAGCTGGCGGCATAGTTGGGCCGGCTCTAAGTTTCGAAGTTTGTTGTGATGGCTCTGATGGCTTTCGGGGTGGTGGCACTTAGTTACTAGTCTATTGGTAAGCCCTAAAACCTTGTTAGGAACCTTCGGACCCCAGGGCCTTACGACCTTAGGGGCCGCTTCTGTGCCCAGGCCCGCGCCGGAGGACGTGCCAAAGCTGACGCCGTAGCTCAAAAAGGAAAACAGGCAAAGGTGAGACAGCTCGGCAGAAGAAGAATCGCAGCAACGACATGGACGCACACTCAAGTAAACGTCGCAAGAAACAACAGCAACAGTGGCAAGCGTATTGGAACATGAGTGTGTGTGTGCGTGTGTGTGTGTGTGTGTGCATCTTGCTTGAGGTTGGCACTTGCTCCGAGTTTTCGACTTTTCGAGTGTTGTTGGGATGCGGGTTTTGGGACGGCACATGCTTCTTGCACGCATGGCGGTGCTCTCGACAGCTGTAGCTGTAGAGATATGTAGAGATCATACTGGGTGATCCTCGCTTTGCTCATGCGACATGAGTTGGGCTGCAGCTCTTCAAGCCAAGATGCTTTTATCCTCTGTACATCGGCACCAGCCAACAATCGAAGCTGCATCAGTGCTTGTTCCTTGAAGCTTATACCTCCCCCAAGTTTCCATACTATAGGCACAGAAGAAGGTGTAGGGTCGTCCTCCTCTCGGAACTTGAACTAGGCAGGCCAGGCCACAGTGGTGACAACGCCGAAGCCACTTCCCAAATCTTTTCAACGATCGCCCCGATGGCGCCCGCGCGGATACGCGACGATGCGCTGGCTGCGGTGGCAACGTTCTTGCGAAGCCACTTTGCCGGAAGCTATAGACACACACACACACAGACAAACACACACACACACACACAAAAGGGTTATATATGCATTCAATGGGTTAGGAGCAACAATGCAGAGTCAGTCACTTTGGGGCTGGGCTTAATGATGCAAAGTAAAACCGAGCCTAAATGCATTGCATGCATGCACGAAAAATAGAGATATATGTATATGTGTATATATATATATGTGGGTCACCGCCTATAGCGGTTCCCCTGTGTTTTTTGCACATTCCCTTAAACCATCTAACCAAGAATCCCTCAAACCATTAAACCAATGGTCTCCCCCCTAAACCATTAAACCATTAAACCATTAAACCAATGGTTTCCCCCTTCTGAAAATCCCCTAAACCATTAAACCATTAAACCATTAAACCAATGGTTTCCCCCTTATGAAAATCCCTTAAACCATTAAACCATTAAACCATTAAACCATTAAACCATTAAACCATTAAGCCATTAAACCATTAAACCATTAAACCAATGGTTTCCCCCATATGAGAATCCCCTAAACCATTAAACCATTTTCATGGCGGGCAACCATTGGTTTAATGGTTTAATGGCTTAAAGGCTTAATGGCTTAATGGCTTAATGGTTTAAGGGATTTTCATAAGGGGGAAACCATTGGTTTAATGGTTTAATGGTTTAATAGAATAGGGGATTCTCATAAGGGGGAAACCATTGGTTCAATGGTTTAATGGTTTATTGGTTTAATGGTTTGATGGTTTAATGGTGCTCCTACCGAGGTACCTCGACCGCATCTTTTCTGCTCCTAAACTTCTGATTCGCAAGCAGTGTCCCCTGTATCCTTTCTGCTCCGAATATTCTGAATCGCAAGCAGTGTCTCCCGTATCTTTTCTGCTCATAAGTATACGTATACTATATGGGATTGCGCCTTAAACCCTAACTCTTAAGCTTTAACTCTATAGGGCTTAAAGCTTCGGGTTTAGGTTGAATTGCCGGCTTAGGTTTAAGTGCCTCAATCTTGAACCCTAAACCTGTCAACCTTAACCCTCTAGGGTTGGGGCGCCTACATCATGATCGGATTTGACGAGCTCTGCGGAAATTTCTATATGACAAGGTTATAACTTATTGCTGTGGTTATAACTATGGTTCAGGGTTTGATTTTTATACACTTATGTAAACCCATAAGAATAAGGGGAGCCCCATCACACCCCCAACAAACGAAATATATCCCAAATACTTTACCTTAGCTAAAATATCTCAAGCAACCATCCCCCGATACGCAATTCCTGAGTTCCATCATTTAACGATATAGTTTGTGTATATGTTGAATCCCAGCAAGTAGTGAAAGTGACGAGCTCTGCGGATATATGTACATGACAAGGTTATAACTTTTTTGCTGCGGTTATAACTATGGTTCAGGGTTTGATTGATATACATGTAAATTAGCCTATAAGAACAATGAGGGTAACGGTAACCCCATCACGCCCCAAAAAGCAAAACAAAACTTCTATCCTAAATTTTTTACCTTACCTAAGATAGCTCAAGCAAAACAAAAACTCTATCCTAAAATCTTTACCTTACCTAAGATAGCTCAAGCAACCATCCCCCCCATAAACAAAACTTGAATTATCCTCTTTGTTTATATTTTGAATCCCATGAAGTAGTGGAAGGACATTTGCTCACAGTATTCTCGCGTCACCGGGACGAAAGCGCTACAAACGTAGGCATAACCCTATGGGATTCAAGGTTTGGGGATTTGAGCCCCAAGCGCTCTGGGGTTTTAAGGTTCTATTGTATAGGTAATTAATGCCCAGATCCTTAAACCTAAACCGTTAAACCGTATAGGGTTCAATGGTTCGACAGCCTAAGGTCTGGGCATGTATACCTTCAGTACCCTTTAGGGTTAAAATCTTTGAACCTTTGTGAGCCCTATAGGGTTTTACGGTTCTGACCCTAAACGAATCAGGGTTAAGGTCTGAATGCCCGAACTTCAAACACTTAAGATTGAAACTTTTTGAGTTTTCGTTTTAAATGCCTAAATCCTAAACCCCAACCCCTTAAACCTTAACTCTATAGGGTTTAAAGGTTCGGGTTTAGGTTGAATTGCCGGCTTAGGTTTAAATGCCTCAATCTTCAACCCTAAACCTGTCAACCTTAACCCTCTAGGGTTGGGGCGCCTACATCATGATCGGATTTGACGAGCTCTGCGGAAATTTCTTTATGACAAGGTTATAACTTCTTGCTGCGGTTATAACTATGGTTCAGGGTTTGATTTATATACATGTAAATAGGCTATAAGAAAATGAGGGTAACCCCATCACGCCCCAATAAGCAAAACAAAACCTCTATCCTAAAATCCTTACCTTACCTAAGATAGCTCAAGCAACCATCCCCCGATAAGCAAAACCTGAATTCTATCATATAACGATATGGTTTGTTTATATTTTGAATCCCAGGAAGTAGTGAAAAGGACATTTGCTCACAGTATTCTCGCGTCACCGGGAAGAAAGCCCTACAAACGTAGGCATAGCCCTATGGGATTCAAGGTTTAGGGATCTAAGCCCCAAGCCCTATAGGGCGTTAAGGTTCTATCGTACAGGTAATGCCTAAACCTTAAACCCTAAGCCTTTAAACCCTGTAGGGTTGAATGGTTCAAGAAAGCCTAAGGTCTGGGCATGTATACCTTCAGCACCCTTTAGGGTCAAAACCTTTGTTCCTTGTAGAGCCCTGTAGGGTTTTAGGGTTCTGACCCTAAACGGTTCAGGGTTGAGGTTTAACTGCCCGAACTTTCAACCCTTAAGGTTAAATCTCTATGGGTTTAGGTTTAAAGTTTAAAAATACCTAAATCTTAAACCCTAACCGCTTAACCTTAACTCTATCGGGTTGAACGGTTAGGGTTTAGGTTTCATTGCGGGCTTACGTTTAAATGCCTGAATCTTAAGCCCTAAACCTGTCAAACTTAACCCTATAGGTTTGGGGTACCTCATCATCATCGACTTGTTGCTGTGGTCATAACGATGGTTTAGGGTTAAAATATATACATTTATGTAAACCTAAAAAAAATAAGGGGAACCGCAATAGGCGGACGCCCTATTATGTATATGCACAGATATATATATGTACGTATGTATGTATGTATGTATACATACATACATACATACATACATACATATATGTATATATGGTCGCCCCCCCCCCCCCAAGTAGCCTGCTCAAAGAGCCAAGAAGATGTTGAAATGTCCTGCTCAAAAAGCGAATAGAACGTTCAAGAAAGTAGTAGGGCTTAGGTCCAGTCTCCGGCTAGTGAACTACTTGGAATTCTGCTAAAGAAAAAACTAAAACACATATCGGAACGTAAAGCCGTTCATGAGATATAACCTTTTCTAAACAGTAGGTACTAGGATCCCAGAATTGTTCTTATTGAAAAAGTGATAACTCAGCTTCTTTCAGATGCACAAAATTAGATATTGGCAAGTATAGGCTTTCTCTGTTAAAGCCTCCTTAGCAAAGGCCTGTGCATAACACATGGACGTGTTTTTCTCAGTGATTTGAAATAGTAAGACTTTACATGGTTCTCATACACAGAAACAGTATATTCAAAATCTTCTTGAATCCGAGAAAGGTTGGTTTTTTAGTTTTTGGATTTTCTATGCACAAGACAAGCATAGAAAAGCACACAGTGTATGAAAAAAAAGCCAAAAGAAGTGCAAAAGTGCAAAAATGCAAAGAAGTACAGAAGTACAAAAGTGCAAAACAGCAAAAACAAGTGCAAGCGAGCAAGAAAGCCCAACAAAAAAGCAAAAGTGCAAAAACGCCCGAAAAGCGCAAACGTGCAACAAATTCAAAAAATCAAAACATAAAGCAAAACACGCAAAAAACACACAAAACACAACCAAAACAGCTGGCTGTTCCTGTCTTTTTCATTTCGCGGTTGGTCCATTTGGGGGGGGGGGGGGGGTAAGCATATTATATATATATATAAATATAAATATAAATAAATAAATAAATATATATATATATATATATACGCATGCGCGTCAATCTATGTGCCAATGCATACACATACATGCACGCATCTCCTGAGAACCGCCTTTGCCTTTTGAGAGCAGAGGGTCCCCCAAGGTGTCGGCCTGGATCCCCAGGCCGCCAGCGTCGAGGAAGCGCGGAAGCTGAGCGGCCCGGAGCCCTGGGTGGGGGGGAGATTGATTCGGTGGGGGCGGGGGGGCGGGGGGGGGGGCTGTTCATGGTGTTTGAGAAACTTGGGTGGTTTTTGGATCTCATAAGAGAGGCCCCCCCAAAGAGAGGAAGTGAGATGTGATTATAGGCCGTTGGTGCTTGTCCGCGCGGTGTCGGGATATTGGGAAGCTTCGGGACATCCCAGGCTCCCCGAAGCATGGCCTCACTTCGGCGCTGCGCCGGGGAGCCTACACGCTGCGGACTGTGACGTAGTGCTGACTTTCTGATGGTGCGTAGGGTTTGCTCTTAAGAGCTTGAGGGGTCGTTCTGTTGAAAGTCCCTGATCCCAACCGGCACCCTACAAGGTTCCGGGGGTTCCTAGGAGCCGTAAGGACCCTTGGGCCTTGTCAGGAATTATGAGTTTTTTCGGCTGTCCATTCAAGAACTTTCAAAGTAAGGACCAGGGGGGTGGGCCTTGGGCCCCTGTTGCAACTAACCGGAGGCGCCGAGTTGTAGGTGCTCCAAAGTACAGCCGAAGTCAGCTCCACTCGACCCGAAGGGCCCACACTGTCGAAGGAGTGCAATACGCGCCTTATGAAACCTGTTTTTCGTGCCATGAGTATAAAGTATTGTCGTTTATCATGGTTATTGCGTTCTATATGCATGTGTATAGATATATGTGTATGCGTGTGTGTGTGTGTGTGTGTGTGTGTGTGTGTGTGTGTGTGTGTGTGTGTGTGTGTGTGTGTGTGTGTGTGTGTGTGTGTGTGTGTGTGTGTCTTCGAAAAGTGCAAAACTGGTTCCGAACCACGAAGCACATTGAGCTCCCAGTGAAGCCCTGTGTCTTTGCTGGGTTCAGAATCGGAATATGAATGTCGTCAGAACCGTCAAGAACTCGAACAGTTTGGTTCGAGGCTTTCTGCGCAGAGTGTGCCCTGAGCTGATCCGCGCAACTACGACCAAGATTCTCGCTGGAGGTTTAAGCCTTCATGACCACAGCATATGGCAGCACACAAAAGAACCATGCACTCCACATTGGACTGCGCTGCCTCCTGTTTCCAGCACTGGAGGAAAAACCCGAGTTGCTCCCAAAAACCTGCGGTTAAACAACTCACACGCGCCGCGGCAGCTTCTCCAGTGCCCAGGGGCCTTGGCGTCCGCAGCCCGGCGCGCCGCAGACTCCGCGGCTGCCGCGGAGGCGGAGGCTCCCAGTGCCAAGGAGGCAGCGGCACAGTTCACAGCGACTTGGCAGATCCCCGGAGGGCAGGAAGTTTTTCTTAGATCCGGTCCGCCCCTTCTCCCTTCAACCAAGAGTATGCGGAGTGCCAATATTTGTTTGGATTTAAACGACTTTTGTGAGGGAACCAATCTTCCTAACCAAATGGAATGAGGGATTACGTACAACCACGTCCATTTTAGCCCTTATCACGGCTTTCTTTCGTCTCTACAAGGGGTAGGTTAAGGCTTCTTGTGTAAAGTCGTATCTCGGGCGCGTGCGCACTTGGGATTCGCGAATTCCCATGTTGGTCAGAACCCACTTGCACCCCCACGAGCTGTGAATTTTAAGCACATTTTGCGTTCAAAGCAGCAGCTCTTCTCTGGCACGTAGAGGGTAGAAAGCTTGCTCGGCTTGGGCGCTCGTGTGGTAGACGCTGATCGTTGCAATCGAGGACTGTCTACTGCGGCGGTTCGCAGACCAGGCACAGCAACGTTCTGCCCAATGGTTGTGTTTCTTTCGTGGGCGGTAGGAGTGCCTATGGCTGCTAGACGTGCTAATGTCCCGCACGCTGCTGCACAAGCTTTGTGCCCAGTTTTCACCTCTGCACCAGAAGAAGCTTTCAGTTCCCGACCTGTCTCAATGAATCGCGAAGCAAGGGGAGCGGTAAGCAGCGGCGAGCGTCAGCGAATGAATGGCGCTGCCTTTACTTGTAGCTGCCGGTAGATTATATCACGTTGGAGCCCAGTAGGGTCACCGCTCACGAGCGCGAGGCCTTGCAGAAGTCACCCGAACTACAGCAAGCCTTGTCTGCCCGTGTGGCCGCTCGGCACAAGGTTAGCATGCTTTAGTGGACATTCGGGGAGGAGCTTGGGCTTCGGAAAGGTCCGCTTCAGAATGGAGTTTGGACTCAAACTTCTCGGAAGTCTCGGACCTTGGGAAGTTGCAGCGGTCCAAGGCAAATGCCCTGCGAAGCAGCGGTACGGCTTCCACCTGCTGCTTGCCAGCAGTCATGATTCCCTTAAACATGTGCAAAGTGTGTATGTATATATATATATAGTATATAATATACATATACAGTACATAATATATATATATATATAAATATAAATATAAATATAAATATAAATATATAAATATAAATATATACATATACATGTATACAGTATATATATATATATATCTGCCTGCATCAGAGCGCCCCTCTCTGTGGGAGGCAGCGGCGGTGATGTGACGCCCTCGGAATCACCGCCGGGGCCGGTGCTGGACCCCTCGGAGTGCCTCTGGAAGCAAAAAACTGGAGTCGTGTGATGAGGTGGGAGGCCTACTGCTGGGATGTAGGGCTTCAAGGGTGCAGGGTTTAGGGTTCGGATTTAGGGTTCGGATTTAGGGGTGGGATTCGCATGGGTGGGTGTCTACTTTCCATCTGCGAGTCGAGTGCATTGGACTGAACTGGGGCCTGAGAATGTGTCAGCACGCATGAAAGCTGAGGCACTACGCTGCTTGGCATGTCAGTAGATTGGGAGTTGGTTATTGGGCATTCATCTGCCCGGTTCACAGTGGACCCAATGGGTGGTTTTCTTCTGAAGCAACGAGCAGACCGTAGAAGAGATGCCTATCCCGGCTGAGATGTCATCCTGCTGGCTTTTTCAATAGCCAATGCTGTGGACATGCAACTCAGGTTCCTCGACGGTCTAGCGCGGAAACTCGTTTGCAGCACTTTCCTTGCACAGCGAATGGAGCTGTTTGGCAAGTTGGAAACGGTTTCGTGTGGTTGAAGTATTCACTCATGACGGCTCTCGGAGACTTTTCTGAAGATGGGACAGATGCCCCACAACTGCCGGCATGTGGGGTCTCAAGGACGTCAACTACGATCCCGACCTTCCGGAGGAGTACCGGGACGTACCCGGGCAAGACAACGACTTGGGGGCAGTGACGACAAAATGCAGATGAAAGAACCCCACAAGCTCGCGATCCCAAGATGGTGCACTCATACCCCTAAACTCTAAACTACTGAACCCTAAACTTAACCCTAAACCCTATAAACCCCCATAAACCCTATATACTCTAAATCCCTAAAGGGAATCCCCTCTCGGGTTCCGCTGAGGACCTGGACCCTGGCTACCGGATTCGTGAGATCCGCGAGCAAGAGCTGCTGCTCGTGGCTCGGTTTTCCCTTTTTGGGAAAAGAGAGGGTTTAGGAATTGAGGGTTTAGGGTTTGAGGGTTTAGGGTTGAGGGTTTAGGGTTTGAAGGTTTATGGTTGAGGGTTTGAGGGTTTGAGGGCTTGACGTGTTGAGGGTTTGAGGGTTCGAGGGTAATCCCCACTCCTCTTCGAAGCCTCAAGAGGAGATCCAAGACAAGTACGAGCGCGCCCTCGCCGCTGCTCCGGAGCTGCTCCAGAGCCTCGCCGTGCAAGGGTTCAGGGTTGAGGGTTTAGAGTTTACGGTTTGAGGGGGGGTCGCCCACCGTGGGCGGGGGGGGGTGGGGCCTCTTTGAAGAAGAGCCCTCCTCTCTCTCCTTTCATTTTCATTTTGTCATGTGTGTGGTAGGCCCTGGTAGGCTTCTTTTTTTTGAGATACTGTAGAGTTTTTCTTTTGCGCTTTGCCGTGCGAAGAAGTCGAAGCGCAAAAAGCACGTCCTTCGGGCCCCCAAGGTGGGCCACCGACGTTCTGCCCAACGCGGCCGCAACGCAGGTGGCAGAGGACCCCATATATGATATGAATGAGTCGGAATGAGTGTGTCGCATGCACCCCCTATGCTTGCACCTGCCTTTGCCTCTGCTTTCGACTTCGGCCCTTTGTGTCTGTGTCTGTGTGTTAGTGTGCACAGAAGATGAACATGAAGAGAGGACACTGCAGCTGCCTCCGGCGCTGCCCAAGCACAGAAGTGTGCGGAAGATGACGAGCTACTGGGAGGCTGGTGGGGCCTCTAAGGGGCTTTGCGACTTCCAGGTCTGGAAGGCAACGCCGTTTCGTAGCCGTCGCAGTTCGCAGTCAGTCTTCCGCAGTACATGCGGCTGCCTTTGTGGTATGTGGAGGCCGTCCAGCTCTACCTGTAGCAGCTGCGGAGGGAGAGGGGAAGAGAGTAAGAGAAGGAGAGAGAGAGAGAGAGAGAGAGAACAAATCAGCGCAAAAAATAGAAGACTTTGTCACTGAGTAACCTGAGCAGCCTGCTGTCTACCTGATTCGAATCCATGAACCCATGGGCAGTTTATTTCCTTAAGGCTTCAAAATCGCAAGTGGGTCTCTAGAAGGCATGCTGGTCACTTGTCACCACCTCACCTGGGTCACTTGTGCCCGTGTCCTCGCGGGTCACTTGTGCCCGCGCACTGTCACGGTCTCGTCCGCCTCTAGTGGTTTTGGGCTGTCACGCTCTCGTCCGCTTCTACACGGTCTCGTCCGCTTCTAGGGGTTTTGGGTTGTCACGGTCTCGTCCGCTTTAGGGGTTTTGGGCTAGAACGGTCTCGTCCGCTTCTAGGGGTTTTGGGCTGTCATGGTCTCGTCCGCTTCTACGGGTTTGGGTTGTCACGGTCTCTTCCGCTTCGAGGGGTTTTGGGCTGCCACGGTCTCGTCCGCTCCAAGGCTTTTTGGGTAGGGGTTTGGGGCTGTCACGGTCTCGTCCGCTTCTAGGGGTTTCGGGCTGTCACGGTCTCGTCCGCTTCTAGGTGTTTTGGGCTGTCACGGTCTCGTCCGCTTCTGGGGGCTTTTAGGCCGTCACGGTCTCGTCTGCTTCTGGGGTTTTAGCCTGTCACGGTCTCGTCCGCTTCTAGGGGTTTTGGGCTGTCACGGTCTCGTCCGTTTGTAGGGGTTTTGGGCTATCACGGTCTGGTGGGCTTCAAGCGGTTTTGGGCTGTCGCGGTCTCGTCCGCTTCTAGGGGTTTGGGGCTGTCACGGTCTCGTCCGCTTCTCGGGGTTTTGGGCTGGCACGGTCTCGTCCGCTTCTAGGGGTTTTGGGTTAACTGTCACGGTCTCGTCCGCCTATAGGGGTTTGGGGCTGTCACGGTCTCGTCCGCTTTAGGGGTTTTGGGCTAGAACGGTCTCGTCCGCTTCTAGGGCTTTGGGCTCAATGGTCTCGTCCGCTTCTAAGGGTTTGGGTTGTCACGGTCTCTTCCGCTTCTAGGGGTTTTGGGCTGCCACGGTCTCGTCCGCTCCAAGGCTTTTTGGGTAGGGGTTTGGGGCTGTCACGGTCTCGTCCGCTTCTAGGGGTTTTGGGCTGTCACGGTCTCGTCCGCTTCTAGGCGTTTTGGGCTGTCACGGTCTCGTCCGCTTCTAGGGGCTTTAGGCCGTCACGGTCTCGTCTGCTTCTGGGGGTTTTAGGCTGTCACGGTCTCGTCCGCTTCTAGGGGTTTTGGGCTGTCACGGTCTCGTCCGCTTCTTGGGGTTTTGGGCTGTCACGGTCTTGGGCTGTCACGGTGGGGTTTTGGGCCGTCACGGTCTCGTCCGCCTATAGGGGTTTTGGACTATCACGGTGTTGTCCGCTTCTCGGGGTTTTGGGCTATCACGGTCTCGTGCGCGTCTAGCGGTTTTGGGCTGTCGCGGTCTCGTCCGCTTCTAGGGGTGTGGGGCTGTCACGTTCTCGCCCGCTTCTCGGGGTTTTGGGCTGTCACGGTCTCGTCCGCTTCTTGGGGTTTTGGGCTGTCACGGTCTTGGGCTGTCACGGTCTCGTCTGCTTCTCGGGGTTTTGGGCTGTCACGGTCTCGTCCGCCTATAGGGGTTTTGGGCTGTCACGGTCTCGTCCGCTTCTTGGGGTTTTGGGCTGTCACGGTCTCGTCCGCTTCTTGGGGTTTTGGGCTGTCACGGTCTTGGGCTGTCACGGTCTCGACCGCTTCTCGGGGTTTTGGGTTGTCACGGTCTCGTCCGCTTCTTGGGGTTTTGGGCTGTCACGGTCTTGGGCTGTCACGGTCTCGTCCGCTTCTCGGGGTTTTGGGTTGTCACGGTCTCGTCCGCTTCTTGGCGTTTTGGGCTGTCACGGTCTTGGGCTGTCACGTTCTCGTCCTCTTCTCCGGGTTTTGGTTGTCAAGTGACCCGAAATGACGTGAGCACAAGCGACCCGGAGCACGTGGTCACAAGTGACGGTGCCGCCAGGAAAGGGTTAAGGAACGTGCCGCTCTTCAGCTTCTCAACGTGGAAGGTTGCCCTCATCATCGAGCAGTTGTCGAATCATTCGTCCGAA